GTGTGTGTGGCTGTGTGTGTGTGTCAGTGTGTATATGTGTGTGTGTGTGTGTGTGTAAACAGATGGAAAGTCCAGTGGAGCACAGAAAAGCACCTGTCCAAACCGCTGGCGTGTGCAATGGTAATTGTTCATCAGAGGTGGAAGGCGAGCTCAACTCACAATGATTCAGCGTCACCGTGAACAGGAATGAGCATCAGAACACACCACGCTCACTTCCTGCTAAACCTCCACCTGCTGCTGTCTAATGGAGCGAAGAATCACATGAATCACACTGGCTTCACTTCAGGCTGCTGTCTTCATTCATATAAGCACATGAATATACAGTGCACAGCATAAATGAGTACACCCCCTCTATTAACAAATTCAGCAATTACTCTTTACTTAGAAGACATGTTAGGGTTCTATGGAGATGTAATGTTCCAACAAGCCTGCTTGATCAATTACCAAAGAAGAATGCCAAAACTATTCAGCAAAATAAGATTTTCTTATGAAAGTAATAGGTTTAAGGCTATTTTTGATCAACAGGTAATTATATTGAACCAAAACCTTTAAAGACAAGTAATTTCCTGAGTATATTGAACCAAAACGTTTAAAGACAAGTAATTTCCTGACAATTAAAAGTGTTATATAGCCCACTGAATAATCCTCGGACTTAATGCTGGCAGCAGTGGAACCACTCGGGAGAGAACTGCCAGGTGACTTATTTCTTAGCATAAAAGAGGACAATGCTACAAGAGGAATACCAAATTATTGTTTTAAGTGTGAAAATATAGCAGAAGCAGCGCCAACATTCAAAAACAATGGACTTGTGATAAGGCCCCTGAAATAATCAGGTCTTCACTTTAAGTTTTCATTTAGTGATGACTGATTATTTGCTAGAAAAAGAGCCGGAGAAATAACATGCAAGTGTCTCAGAGCCAGCAAAAGCTATGAAAAGAGTGACACTTTATCTCACAGAGTATGACGCAGACTGCAGAAGTGACATGCATGGTTGTTGTCACCACTAGAATTACCTACTGTAGCCAAAGCAAAATAAACTAATTTAACCTCTTTCAGGGCCCATATTTAAAAAATAGAGACTTCTGGGAATCCATACTCTGGTCTCAAGAGACCAAGTCAATCATTT